GAACGAAGAACGGCGGCGAACGGACCAAGCTTATCTCGCCACTCCTCTGTGACCACCCCGCCCCTCAACACGTCCAGGTACAGGAGCTGTAACCACTCAGCCTCTGCCAGAGCCCCGGAAAGAGATTGAACCTCGCCGGCCAAGGTAGAGGGGACAGCTCGCTTAGCACGATGGGACCGCCAAGCTAGAGGAGACACTCGTGCTCTGGATCCTGTGGACAAAGAACGATCTGCTGCGTATGCCTGCCAAGCTAGCTAGGCCTTATCGGAGTCGCTGGTGGCAACCCCTCCAGCGTCCGAGGAAGTGACAAAGATTAGGTCGTCGGGCCGGAATTTCCAAATGGTTATGGGGATAGCTGCTGTCTGCCGAAGATGATCTACCATCTTGTTGGCCAGCAGAGCGTCGCCCACCGTCGGAGACTCCACTCGAGAAGCCAGGATGGACGCGGTGCCGCAAGCCTCTGCCCGAGTCTCTCGGCCGACCCAATTGAGTCGGTAAATGAGCGACCTGAACTCGATTTTCTCGCGGCCCAACAAGGGCTGATCATGCCTACCTCGTCGATCCCGGGATATATAAAGGCGCTGAAGATTCTCGAATATGTATTTATGTTGATCAACTAGAATGCGGTCATGTAGTCGTCGAACCCGCCTCCCAATATACTCCACCCCCTCAGAGTCCACAAGCCTAAGCTTTCCGAAAACGAACCGATCGGTAAACGCCTTAATCTGTTCCTCACGAACTCTTTCCGCTAAACCGATGGCCCAGTCGTCCACCTCAATCAAAACCATGGCGTCCGGACCCTTGGGACCCCTGCGGACCATCCAACACGGCTCCAACTTCGAACGAACGTATCCCAAGGATTCGAAGAAACGAACAGTCGTACGATGGAGGGCCAACGGAGCGTCGTCCAGTCCGTAGACTGGAGCGATCAATTCGATCAAACTGCCAGCGTCAAGGCCTAGACCCTCGCAAGGCTCCACGAACACCCTCCCGCGGCTCCTCCGAAGAGGATCCGACTGACAGAAGGCATTCTTGAGATCCCCGATGGTCAAGGTCATCCCCAGTGCGAGGGCCGTCGTGAGAAACAGCATCAAAGACTCCATCTGAGGTGTCGGGGCGTAAACTCTCAACCCCTGAGTGTCCTCGTCCTCGTGGCCTCGCACGCACCACCGGCTCTTGGCCAGTGGCTTGCTGTAGCAGCCCTCCTGAGGCTTCCACCTTCTGACCATCCTGGACGAGACCACTCGGTTGGGATACAGGGCCCTGAGACACTTTCCCTCCGCAGGAGGATGGACATGCACCGCCCCCGTCCCCAGGATATTGGACCACTCCTTGGCATCCAAATCTCGGAAGGCCTGTCTACCCTCAGCATTGAGCTTGGAAACGGAGATCTCGCCTCCTCGGGACGTGGCAAGAGAGAGAGTCCCCTCGGATGACGATCCAGACTCCCCCGGAACCAACTCCACGTCGGCGTTGCCGTTCCCAAAATTGGTCCAGTCGCCGGACCAACCTTGTTCTGTCAAACCCTCGAAGACCGAGGCAAAGTACTGTCCAGCCTGATCAGTGCTGAGAGAGAGAAGAGCAGCGGCAGTGTCCATCTGATCGGAACCCGACTCCTGTCTGGCCCCCCGAGGTGGGCTCCTCGAGTTTCTTCTGAGCGACTCCCAATCAGCTATCCTACCTCGAACTGAACTGTCTCCCCTCTGAAGATCCTCTATCGGACGTGGCAACCTGTTAAGACGATCTCCGTACCTGGCCAGGTCGACGGGCCTGGATCTGACCTCCGCGTCAAACTGCTCCCGGGACAAAAGGGGGCGGTCCCGCGCTCGAGCACCCATGCCCCGAACGCGGTTGGCCTGGACCAGAGCGAGCTCCCTCAGCCGAGCTGGGCCGGGCTGTTCCCCTCCCTCTCGGTTCGTCTCTGGTCGAATCTCCGAGGGGGGGCGCAACTGGGCCCCGGGGCCGACCGAACTGGGATCCGGGGAAGCGGAGGCCGAGCCGGGTGGGGCCGAGAGCTCTTCAGAGATGCCTGGCATGCTCCCGTCGACACTAGACTGGGCAAGCTCGGGACCTCTACGTTTGCTGCCAACGCTGACCTCGCCGGCCGACTCGTTCTCTCCCTCGGACAACCTGTCGGATGGAAGATCCGTGCGAGAGGAGACCTCGCGAGACATCGAGCGATCCTCTCTCCCGCCCGAGGAAGCCGCAGGAGCCGGCACCGCGGGTGGAGGCACGGCGGGCGGAGACACCTCAGCACCTGGCTCGCCCGCCGTCCGACGGGCTGGGGGCAACTGGCCAGGATCCGGGGCCGCAGGAGGCGGAGGGAGCGGAGGCTGAATCCCTTCACAAACGGACCGTGCCTCTCCTCGCCCGGTGGAGGACCTTCCCTGGACACGTCGACCCCGGCTCTCTGGGACCCGGACTGGACCTGACGAACCAACTCCTGGAGGGCCGTGTCCTGAAGCATTTCGGCGCCGCGGGCCTCTGGGCCGGACGCGCGTCGAAGCTGCTCCGTGGCACATTTCCAAAGACGGGATCTCATAGAGACCCAAACGGAACGGAATTCCCGTACTGGAAAACGACAAGGCCCGGGCCGCACCGCCTGTCCCTCTGCAGGGCGTAGGTTTTCTAGTGCTGCAAAGCTGGGGCCCGTCTCCACACATGCGCCCAGTCGCCCGGGGCGTACTTTCGATCCCGATGCCTGGCAAAATCCGCGGCCGCGGTGTCCTGATCCCAAACCCCCTCGGCCATGTCGTCCAGTCCTACTTGATTGACCGGATCGTCGGAAAGAAGGTCCTGGGGAACCCTGGGGTTCTTGCCGAACACTAACTGGTTCGGAGAGAACCCTCCACGGTGGAGGTAGGAATTCTTGGCCGCTGTGATCTCGTAAACCAGCAGCTCGAGCTCGCGCTCGCTGGACACCGGGGCCCCCTCGGAACCTCTGAGAGACAAGTCCTCGACCCATCCGCCGTGTCTCTCACATCGGCCGTTCTCCCACGGAGCCTCGGCACTGGTGATGTGCTGAAAAGTGCCGCGTTGCTCAGCTCCCCGAGAGAACTCGCCCTGGAACTCGGGTCCTCCGTCTGAGATCAAGAGCTCCGGGGGGCCAAAATAACGCACCCCCGACGACGCGAAACACTCCCACGCTTCTCGAGCCCCTCCCTTATATCTGGCCACCACTTGGTAATTCGTACCGTGGCAGATCATATTGAGGAAGGTCACCAGAGTCTCACCGAACTTAATGTGGAAAGTGTCTACCGCAATGACCCGGTTAAACTGGCACGTGCGGGGCATCGCCACATATCTCCGGCGGGCGGGGCGCGGGTGTGATTCGCAATCAGGACCGGCAAACTCTCTCTTCACGCACTGTAAAACCTCTGGCCTCGCATGAGCGCCTCGGAGAATCTGCAGAAACAAGGGGCGAGCAGGGTGTCCGAGATTAACATGAACCTTCTGTATCATGTTGCGCAGCCTGGCATCGATTTCCAAGGGGGGAGAATCTGAACGTCCGAGCCCGACGGATGAATCGAGACCTGGGGTCGCCTCGTCCTCGTCGGGGCCCTCGCCCAAAGCCCCCTCTGGGTCAACCGCGGAAGGAAAGCAAGACCACAACACATCAGGAACAAGGGTGGAACTGGATTCAACCTGACACGGGAGCTCCTTGCGAATCCATCCGGTCACGTCCGAGGTCCGAGCCATCCTGGCCCTCCTGTCCAGCACCCCTCTGGTAACAGTGGCCAGGTGACGCACGAGGTTGGGGGGGTAGACCTGCGCCTTGGAAGTCTGAGCTGAACCTCGAAGGACGTGATGAGGGTGGTCTCCCTTGCACCGAAAACTCGAAAGGGAAGCCACAACCTCCGAGTCGTTGCTGATGATGCGGGTCGGCTTCTTGGAAAGCTCGCCGCTGCTGTCAACGCACAGTCCGAAGCGGCACATGTCAAAAACAACCGACTGAACCCCTGGAAGAGACCAGAGCTTTTTCATGGGAGCCGACTTCCAACTAGACGCCCCTTCGGGATGTTCCAGAGCAAAGACCCCTCCAAGTGACACTTGGAGCTCGGCCAGCTCCACCGCGAAACGGAGCAACATCATGCCCTCGACTACCGCCCGAGCTCGCACAGCGGGGTCCATCACATTTTTGAAAATCTCGAAGGCCACACTGAAAACACGACAGGGCGGTTCCAGGAAGAGGGCCCCGGTTCTCCTCGAACGGACGAGCTCGCGGGCCAGAAGACGGTCCCTGAATCGCCGAAAATCCCAGCCCGTGGAAAGGTCCAGACTTCCTTGATCTGCAACGCCCAGCTGGCGTGCCACTGGGCATATCCTTGGTGGAGAGAAGACCTCCATCACCCCTCGAGACATTCCCTCCTTCCTCCGACGACCGACCTCACGACGGGAGAGAAGGGAAGGGAGGAGAGGAGGCGAGTCCTGTAACGCGGCAGAAGCGGCAGAGGTTGAAGGAGCGCTCGAATCGGGCGGACATGCACGGGTGGAGATTCCCCGAACTTCAGCATCTGGAGGTGCTCGGTGTCCTGGTGGCTCTTGTTGTCCTCCGCTGCTCTTTCCTGGCTCGGCCGCAAGGAGAGTCATGAGGTTTTTCTCCATTCCTCGGCGTTGTCGCCTCGAAATCGTCGTCTCGTAGCCATCGTTAAACTCTGCCTCCTGGATGGCGGAGGCCCAGCCGTCGTGGCGGACAACTAAATGGCACTCGCCCTCGACAGGAAAAGAGCTCGAGGGATCTCCCGAGCTGGGAAGTGCCTGCAACCGGTCGTCCTGTTTGCCAAGAAGAATCCATGAGTGTCCCATATCCCGATGCTTCTTCCATATCTCCTCCTTGCACCTTGGGAAGTAGAATAGCTCGGACGCCGGCGCATTCAGCGGGGAAACTGCCTGCTGAAGGTAAAGAGATTCGCAACCAACCTCACTCACGAACCGGCTCATGCCACAGCACGTGCCCTTCTCAGCGACAAGGATGCCAGCCCAGCAGCCGCCGGGCCCTCTTAGGGATCCTTCTCCGCTGCGATCGGCATCTCCGGCGCCGGCGACTGGGAGACTGGTTGACCGATCACCTCCCACTTGTCGGCCTGGCGCGGCGTGCCCGGAATCGCCGTCATGACCGCTGCCTCCTGGCACTGCTGGATCTGGGCCAGGTGGGGCTGCGTGAGGAACTGCAGAGCCTGGCTGTGTTGCTGGATGCACTCGTTCTGCTGCAGAATCGCGTCCTTCAGCTCCTTCATATCCTTTGCCAGGGTACTCTCCGATGTCCTCGGTCGGCTCTTCCGCTCCGCCTGGGCCAGCTCGTCCACCTGCATCGGTGCGTATGAAGGCCTCGACGTGGCCTCCGAGTGGACCGGCACCTTCACCGCGGCCGGACTCCTGGAGGTGTCGGTCTTGACCAGCTTGATCAGGAGCTCCTTCCTGTCGTCCTGGCCCTTGTTGTAGCGGCGGATGTTCGGCATCGCCGCGCTGCTCTGGTTCGGGTCGTCCTTGATCGCCAGGAGGTGGGGCTGCACCTCGATCTTTGGGCGATTCCAGTAGGCCAGCCTCAGGTCGCAGTCGACGCACTTGATCCAGGTCGCGCTCGCGTTGGCTCCGACTCTGCGCCTCGGCGGATCGTGACGACGCTGTAGCATCTGAATCGTGAACTGACGCTGCTTGCGAGTGAAGGCCACCGGCCAGAGTCGCCCGGTGCGGCTCGTGTCGAGAAGCGACAGGCTGAGCGCCTCCTCTATCCTGAGGCTCTGCGCGACCACGTGGACCCAGCGGAGGTGCTTCATCTGCATTCCTTCCGGCACATCTCGGCCGGTCAGGACGTAGTGTTGGTCTGTCATACCGCCCACGTGCGATATCCCCCAGTAAGCTCTGAGTGGAACTCTGAAGGGAATCGCAAACCGTGACGGGTTGGAGGCTTGAGCAAAACGAAACGGACCGGGACGCTGCGGAGGAGCAGTGGTTTTGAGGAACGTTGGACGCGTTGGAACGTTCGGGCGTATTTTCTCGAGCTGCGTCCGGACCGTTGCTAACGAGAGTTTCCTTTTCTGACCCCTTTTGCTCCCCACGGCCTGTTATATCGTACGGTACTGATGCTGGATAAGCCGGAGCTGGAGCTGATATCCACGCTGGGAAGGCTGGAACCGTGTCTGGACATGGTACGGCATCTGCTGGAAGTGCTGAATAAGCTGAAATCTCGACCAACTCGTGAGGGGACGACTCGCACCGATCTTGGACTGAATCCCTGGACCCTCGGCTTGGACCGGGGGCCCTCGATCTACCCTCGCCGTGCTCCCCCGACTGGTCGTTCGACGTCGCCAAAACGGCACTGTCACCGCCGTCTCTCATCGACGCCTTATACTGCGAAACAGGCTGCAGCACAAAATCAGACTTCGAGACACCGAACCTGTTCGACACCGACTCTGGAACGTGAAAATCGTCGGGAGAGCCTAACTTGTCAATCCGGATGGTCCGATGTCCCGACGGAAGTGCCTTCAACGGCGTCGTTGTGACTAAATTCTTGAAGGTGACCTTCTCTTCTGGAAGGTCTATGACAGCTCCTAAGGCCTCCTGCATACCAATTGGCATCAAAGTTGGAACTTCTTCGCTGATCGCATCGAGTTCCATCACTCCGAGACGGCCCTCTATCCCAGTAGGGGCCAGGAGACCGGTCAAAACACTGGTGCGGCCTCCCACTCCCTGGGCATGTTTGTTGGCACTGGGCACCCGGGGGATCCGAAAACCGAGCGCGGCGAGCCTCTCGTCCAGCTTCGAGAGGGACGCAGGGCCTATGAGCCCTTGGCCCGCCGCCGTATCTACAATGATCTCCCCCCCGGGTGTGGTCAGAAAAACCTGCGGAGCCGGCTCAGAAGATGGGGAGGTGGAGACGACCGATGTCCGAGCCTTCTCGATCAGTGCCTCCAAGGGGTTCTGATAGAACGTCGTCGTCAGCACCAGGCCAGACGAGGAGGACCCGCCGTTCGTCAAGACAAAGAATCCCTGCTTCGGCGGCGTCCCCGGGGGACCTGGTGCTGGAGGGTTCGGGCACTCCTTGGCCCAGTGGCCCTTCTGATGGCACTTGTGGCACTTCGTGGCCTTCATCCACTGCTGAGGGGATAACCTCGCCTTGCGAGGTTCATACTGTCCGTCTTGTCCACGATGCGGCCGCTGAGGACGGGCTCCTGGGTGAGCAGGAGGCGGCGTCGGGAAATACTTCCGGTCTACCTTCAGCCGCCTCTTGAAGTCCTTGTTCTCCTTCCACGTCTTGCGCCTCTCGGAAGCGAGCTCCGCCAAAATGGTGGGAACTTCTAGCTCCGAGAGGTCCGCTTTGTCCAGCGTCACCAGCACGGTCTGCTCCTGACTCGAATCCATGGACGAGACGCTGCTGGCATCCTCGTCGTCATAGAACGTGGGCTGTGACGTCTGCTCGAACTCTGCGAACGTCTTCTTGCTCTGGGTCAGGCTCTCATTCCGCTGCATATCCATCTCTCGAATGGCGTGGAGCAGATCCTGGTACTCTCCTGAATTCTTACTGAGAATATTGAGCATCTGCTTCTGTGAGTCGTCTAGACCGACTCCTTCCTCAATGAACAGGCGTCGCCACTTGCTGTTCAACTCGAGCCCCTGCGAAGAGAGGCGGTCGAACACCTGGTCCATCCTGGCCGCGTAGACGCTCAGCGTCTCTCCCTGCCGGCGTTGAAACCCGAACAAGCACTCGCGGCCCACTCTTCTCATCTCGTCGTCCTGCCTCTGGCCGCTGAGCACGTCCAAGCGATCGAGGATCGCCTGCGGGCCGGCCTCGGAGACGAGGATGTCGTCCGATAGATCCTCGAACTTCTTGCGCAAGTCGAGGTCCAGCACCTTCAGGATCTTGTCTGCCCGACGGCCGACGGAGACACCTGTCCCGGCCAGCCAGCGTCGTATGCCCCGGCGCCACAGGCGGTACTCGCTCCATCCCAACCATGCGTCGGGGTCGCTCAGGTCGGGCTTCTCCCACCACGAAGACGACCAGTCCTCTGACTGTCGCCGCGCACTGCTGCTGCTGCTGCCGCGCCAGTCTCTGGCGCCCCACTTCTTCTGGCCCAAGTCCGCGTCGTCCTGAGAATCCTTCGGCACGTCGGCTGAGGCTGACCACCAGCCTCTGCCTGCCCATCGCGCTCCCTCATTCTCTCCGACGCCTCGCCTGGATCCTTCTCGCTAGGGATCGTTGCCGAGCTCCTCCCACGGGTCGGATCCTGATGCTGAGTCGCGGGCCAGTTGAGCCGCACCTTCCGACGTGGGGCCCGCGGTGCCCGAGACGGCCAGAGCCGCCTTGATCTCCTCGCGCAAGATGCTCCTCAGCTCGAGCGCCTGCGCCGATGTGAAACTGCTGCTGCTGCCGGTCGCGCCCTGGGGCGCGCCACCTGGGGCCTCGCGGCCTCTCTGGCCTTGTTCTCCCTGAAAGTCATCCTTATCTCGATTGCCACTGCTGGCAGCCGGAGGCTGCCCGTCCGCCGGCATGGCGGCGGTCACTGGAGACGGCCGGGGAAGACCGACCGCTCCGCTACCACTGACGCGTCAAGGACGGCCAGTGGCGAAAACGAGGGATGTTTTCTCTCAAGAGAGACATGGTGTCGAAAGGTGCCTGAGTCAAAACAGCAGCGGATGCGCGCACACGTGCGAACATAAACGTGTATGACAAGTAACTATACAGACAGTACAAGAGATGATTAAGCTCAAACAGCTCACAATTCCACAGGCCAGCTTGGGAACCTCTGGGGGGGTCCGGGGCCCCTCTGAACCCTCTTGGAGCCCCCCCGGCCCCCCCGGCCCCCCATACGAACCAGAGGCAGCAATTTTGGGCCCTCCCCTGGCCTGCTCCGATATATGATATATGATCGCGGGCTCCGGGCCCACGGCCCCCCCCCCCCAGTCGGGATGGGTCCCAGGGTCCTCGGGCCCTCCCCCCCCCAGATGGGATGGGGGGGGGAGCAGGAGGAGGAGGAGGAGAGAGGAGGAGGAGGAGGAGGAGGAGGAGGAGGAGGAGGAGGAGGAGGAGGACGACGACGGCGATGACGACGACGACGACGACGACGACGACGACGACGACGACGACGACGACGACGACACCGACAACGACGACGACGACAACGACGACGACGACAACGACGACGTCGACGGCACCACCAGCGGCGGCGGCGACGGCGTCGAGCACCGGAGCTGTCACCATGACGCCAATCCCAGCCACACGCCGCACCCACACCACACCCACAGGGGGGGAGGGAGGGGGGGAGGAGGACCATGGCGTCACCCCGCACACACCCACAGCAACACACCACACCCACACCACATCCACAGGGGGGGGGGAGCCACCACGCCACGCCCACGCCCCCAGGGGGGGGGCATCGCGCGGGGGTGGGCGCCCGATGGCATTAGCATTTGGGGGGGGCCCAAACCCTGAACCATATATGATATATGATATATACATATATACATATGTATATATGTATATATATATATACATATCTATATATCGGAAACGAATGGGTGAGATCGCAATGAAGCGGAAAGGCCCCCCCGGGTTGTCTGGCGGTGGCCGGGCGTGTCCCGCGGGTGTAACGGAAAGGCCCCCCCCGGGTCGTCTGGCGGTGGCCAGGGGTTTCTCGCGGGTGTCCTGGCGGTGTCCCGTCGGTGTCCCGTCGGTGTCCCGTCGGTGTGTCTTAATGAGATCGTTTGTGGGACCGGTCGTGAGATCGATCGTGAAATCAATCGTGAGGTCGATCGTGTGACTGATAGTGAGATCGATCGTGAGACCAATACTGAAAGGGACGGCGAGGTCAATTGTCAAATCGATTGCGAAATCGATGTGACAACGACCCAATCGATAGTGATGTCCCGTCGGTGTCCCGCCGTCGGTGTCCCGTCGCTGCCCCGTGGTGAGTTCAGTAGTGAGATCGATAGTGTGACCGACAGCTAGATTGATTGTGAAATCGTTAGTGAGATCCATAGTGGCATCGATCATGAGACTCTTTGCAATACCAATTGAGTAAGACGTTGCCTTCTCCCACCCCCTGGACCTCCTTATCATCCGATATGGAGTCGTCTAGGTGTAATATGTTATACATGTATGCCTGTCTGCATGACTGCATGCATTCATGTATACATGTATGCATTTATGCATTCATGTATGTATGTTTGTATCTACGTACGTACGTATGTATGTATGTACGTATGTACACATGTATACATGTACGTACGTATGTATGTATGGGTGTCTGCATGTATGTATGTGTGTGTGGATGTATGTAGATGTGTATGTAAATATGCATGTATGGATGCATGTTTGTATGTATCATGTATGTGTGTATGTAGATGTATGTATGCACGTACGTACGTACGTATGCATTCATACATACATGTATGTATGCATGTATGTGTGTGCATGTATGTATGTATGTATGTATGTATGTATGTATGAATGCATGTATGTATGTATGCATGCATGCATGCATGCATGCATGCATGTATGTATGTATGTATGTGTGTATGTATGTATGTATGTATGTATGTATGTATGCATGCATGCATGCATGCATGCATGTATGTATGTATGTATGTATGTATGTATGTATGTATGTATGTATGTATGTGTGTGTCGTCCTGTATGTATGTGTGTGTGTGTCTGTCTGTCTGTCTGTCTGTCTGTCTGTCTGTCCGCATGTATGTATGTATGTATGTATGTATGTATGTATGTATATGTATACAGACACATCTATGTCTGTATCCGCCACAGTGCCCTGAGGAACGAGTTGGAAAGTCCACAGGTCATTGTCCCAATCCATTTGGCGCCTTCCCTCAATCCGGAGGACTGCGACGGGGCCCGGGTCCCGCATTCACGAATCTGTTGGGGCTTGTCGCGTGCCCCCTGGGGGCGCGCCGCGTGCCCCCTGGGCTCTGGGAAGTGCTCCCCCAGGACGGGACAAGAGGGCCCCAAGCGGCCCCCAAAGATGGCCCATGGGAGGGCCCACAATCGTCGAACGACCGCGCCAAGACGCCCAAGATGGCCGCACGACGGCCGATGAAGCGCCCGACACGTCCCAAGAGGCCTCCACGAGCCTTCCCAGGAGGGCCCCGAGAGGTCAACATCAGTGCTGTTCCTTAGCTGCTTCACTGATTTGTTCGGTTCTTCGTCCGTCGAGCCTCCGACACTCCAAGACGTCCCAGGCGGCCCGATCGCCAAAAGACTTCCTCAGGGGCTCCGACAAGGGCCCCAAGATGGCCCAGGAGGGGGCCCAAAGACGGCCGAAGAGGCGCCCAAGACGGCCCCACAGGGCCCCCGGACGGCCCCAAGAGGGGCTCGAGGAGGAGGAGCACGAACCAAAAGTCCGAGCCGTCCGCCCAAGCGCCCAGAAGGCCCCCAAGAGACTCCAAGCAGCCCCGAAGAGGCCCCCACAAGGCCCCAAGAGGTCCCCCAAGAGGACCAACAGCGGCCCCCAAAGCAGCTCCCCAGAGGCCTCAAACTAACTCCAGGAGGCTCCAGAGAGGCTTCGACGAGATCCAAACGAACATACAATAAGCATTCAACCCACAACACAGGCACGGTGGAGGGATGGGCCGACGGACATTCTATTGATAAAACTGCATATGCAGCTATGCATAAGCACATGAATGCATACACATAGATGTGCATGACTATATTTGTATATACACAAACCAAGAAGATGTATGTATATACATGTGTGTTTGTGACTGTATATCTGTATGTCTGTCTGTCTGTCTGTCTGTCTGTATGTACGTATGTATATATGTATGTATACATGTCTGTATGTCTGTCTGTCTGCCTGTCTGTCTGTCTGTCTCTAGATGTATGTATATATAAATATGCATGCATGCATGCATGTATGTATGTATGCATGTATGTACACATGTGTGTACATGCATGCGCACATACATAAGCATACATCTATACAGACGTATCTACGTGTATATGTACATTTCGTGGGCGTGGTCATCTGGATAGCCGCAGAATAGACAATAAGCGGGTAACCCGACACGTCGCACGATTGCAGCGTACATCGATGCACCCTGGTCTTTCAGATGAGCGGCAAAGCTGACTTCAGATGAACGACGTATCTTCAATGTATTCACACTGCTGCTCCCCTGGCGCTCCCCTGGCTCCTTCCACCCCCTCCGCAGCCCATACACACATGAGCACCTTCGCAAACAAAGTAGTCTTGCTCTTCTGTGCACCACGTTTCGGTGAGGCAGACAAAATCCCATGTATGGGGTTTCGGCTGACGCAGTAGCTTGTCAATTCGGCTGTCAGGCGTAAGGCCCCTGACATTCCACTGGATAACTTGCACTGTGAATTCAGTACCATCTTTCATGTTGCCACCAGTGCTAATGGCAGCCGGCTGTTGGTTTGGTGTTTTGGCACGATGGAGGATTCTCAGACGGTTCTGTTCTCATGCGCCACCTCCCACAATGCAGAGTAACTCTTGTAGGAACCTGTGAAGAGGGCACTTGGAGGGAGGGTTTTTTTGCAACAGCGCTGGTGCGTCTTGGAATTGCACTGGTCCCCCTCCTCCTCCCCCTCCCACTTTCTTATCCTCCTTCTCCTCCTCCTCCTTCTCCTCATTCCCCGCTCTCCGTCCTCCGCCCGAGCGCGCACGAAACGGGCGGGAGGAGGACGAGGGCAAGGATAATAGGGGGCGAGAGAGGTCGAGGGCGAGGGGGGAGGAAGACGAGGCCGAGGAAAACGGCAGCACCCCGCGGGGGCCGTGAGTGCAGGACCGACGCCGACTCCGCACCGTCGTCGACCCTGGCCGGGCCCATCCTGGGCTCTGAGATCGGCGAGTACAGTGGAGGCAAGTCCACAAGAAACCTTCCACAAGAAACCCAACCCTGAGACCCCAGGAGGTCCACTGACTTCTGGTGTGGGAGCGTCACGCTTTCCACAGCAGAACCATCGAAACCCAAGAAACCCATGGCACCCTGAAGGCAAGCAAGGTGTTTCTTGGCATGGGTCTCCACTGTGCGCTCCTGGCTGGGCCGGGGGGGCGCGCAAGCAGATCCCCAGGCGAGGGTTTGGCCAGGCCAGGACGGGTTGTCTTGCAGGGCTGGCGTCTCCCGAAACTCGGGAAGTGAAGGCCAGAGCGAAGTCGGGCACGTACTTCTACAGGAGGAACACTCAAGCATAGGTGAAACATATGATGGAACGATGTGCTAATTTGGCTAACTGTATAGCTTTCTTCCAAACTCCGCCTGTAGAAAGACATGCCTGACCTAACGCAAGGGCTCCCAACTTCGCGCTCTCGCGCCGCCTCCCCAGGGAGAAGAGGAGGACGAGGAGGAATCGGAGCCGAAGCGCGAAGCGCGAACAACTTCGCGCCCTCGAGGGCGCCCTTGCCTAACGACGAGAGCGAGTATGGCGAAGGCGAGGTCGAGGATAATGGCGGGGACGGCGAGGACGAGGGTGAGACAGGGACAGAGGGAGCCCCAGGGGAGGGGGGACAGGGCCT